TATATATAATGGATTCTGTTTTTTTTTTAACTCCACTTTCACGTTGATTTCTTTGTTTGTTTGTTTTTTTTTTCTTTTTCGTTTGTTCCTCTTTCGTGCATTGGCATTTATTTCATATCTCTTTATAAAGAGATATGAACGGCCTCAAGCAGCAACTACAACGTATACATACATGTATATATATATATATATATATATATATATATATATACAGGATAGCAACACAACGGGAAAAAAAAAAAATTGAAAAACCACCAAATCAAGAATAATCATCATAACCATCACCATCCCAATCCTCCGAATATATTACACACCACCAGCATATCTCATCATCATCCACCATCATCATCATCATTATCACCGTAAGCCGTCCTCAGAATAATAAAAAAAAATAAATAAATAAATAAACCTCTACAATCCATTTATTCCTCACCTCACGGGTTATTGCGGACGGCGGGGGCATCATACAGCCCGCCCAGCTCCCACTGCGGCACGAGGATCTCCGACACCATGTACGCCAGCGGCACCGGCGGCGCGAGCACCGTGCCCACCGTGTCCTCGATCGCGTCGTGGATGAACGAGTCGTCGAGGTCCGCCTCGTCGGTCGGCGGCAACACATCGCGCGGCGCCGCCTCCTCCCGCCACGCCGCCCGCAGCGCGAGAAAAAATTCCTTCCCGACCGGCAGCTCCGTCGCGGGCGCCTCGCCGTCGGCCGGCGGGTGGCGAATGGCAGTCGTGCGGTTGTCGGGAAAAGACGCGGCGGCGCACGTGAGCGGGACGTGCGGGGAAGTCGCCGCGACGCCGTGTTGTTGTCGTCTGCGGCCGGCCGCCCACTCGCGCGTGAGTTTCGCCTCCGTCGTCGCCAGCCACGAAGAAGAAGAGGAAGAAGAAGAAGTGAGATGATGGGCGTTGGTGTTTCTATTCATATTCATATTGGTGTTTGTGTTTGCGTTGGTCGCCGGGGAGTCCGGTGGGAGTGGCGTGGGGACGACGTTGACGGGCTCTGCGGGGATCATCACCGGCGGATGTCCCCCGCGGCGCTGGAGGGAAAATAAAGAAGTGGAGTTGTGTGGATGCGAGGAGGGATGCGGTGGAGTATGTTGGCTGTTGTTGTGGTTTGTTTGCGGTGAGCAGTTGTTTTTGCTACTGTTGTTGCTATTATTAGAGTTGTTGCTATTGGTATTGTTGGAGCTGCTCTGTCCCATATACAGAGTTATTATTCTACAAATAGACACACAGAGAAACCTCTCTCTCTCTCTCTCTTTTTCTCTATGTTTGTTTGTTTGTTTTCTTAATTGTTTTTTTTTTTTTTTTTCTTTTCCTTCTTTGTGTGTGTGTGTGTGTGTAGGGTGCACAAAATAAAGAAATACACAAAAAAGGAAAGAAGGGGTGGATGTGCGGTTACCACTTCCTTTTACGTAAAGGAGAGAGAAAAGAGATGAAAGGAAAGAAAAAGAAGATATAAATACATTAAAGTATAGATATACAAATATATATATATACATATACACTATTATTTATTATTATTGTTTATTATCATTATTATTATTAATAATATTATTATTAATTTATAGTGGTACATGAGGGGAATTATACGATTGACGGGGTGTCAACCATGGAAATACAACGGTGTATACACAACAACAATAGAGAGTGAAATAATAATAATCATAATAATAATAATAATAATAATAATAATAA